AAAACGACTATTTATTTGTGCAAGAATAGTCAGCCTAACTGTCTACAATCGTTCATCATGGTAAGTGTGTATCACCGAAGTCATGTCAATTACCCTCCCCTCGACGGATCTCTCTTCCTCCCTGAATTGGTGGAATTCAATGCGCAACATAACTCGGACGTCACTTTCTTTGTCTACGAGAAACCTGACAGCAATGTCCTAGTCTCTATCTCACACTCAGACTTCTATCGAGCTTGTCATCGGGCCGCCCACGCAATTAGGCCAGCCTCCGCAGGCGCAGATAGAGAAGTGGTTGCCCTCATCGCGAATTCTGACACCCTTCTTTATCAGACTGTATTCATGGGTATAATATTCGCTGGACTAGTTGTGTGTACATATATTTTCTGAGTGAGCAGGTTTCTAATCACAGTTATTTCAAGCCATTTCCCATGTCCCCTCGTAATTCGGCAGCGGCAGTCACGAGCATGATGCAGAAAACAGGATGCCGTCGTTTAATCACGACTCAGCACTCTCTTGCTTCCCTCATCGACAGAGTCAAAGCAGGTCTTGTTTCTTCTGCCACTCAAATCAACCAGCTGCAGATCGACGAGATTCCGTCGCTGAATCACCTGTACCCTGCACTCGTTAGTGGTACTCCCAATGCGGCTATTGTCCCGTACTCTTCCCCACTGGCAGGTTCTCCATCGTCTGAGAATGATATATTATTCTACCTGCACTCCTCTGGCAGCACTGGTTTCCCAAAACCCATTCCAATGACTAATCTAACTGCCATCCACTGGTGCATAACGCGTGAGTCAGTAAAATAATCTGCACGGCGAACACTGCTAAGATGGAGTGGCGTTAGCATGTATTCTCGAACACATCGACGTTCCCGCTCCTATCCGCATCGGTACTGCGTCCTTGCCATCATTCCATACATTTGGTGTATATCTTCAGCTGCTCATTCCCATCGCCACCCTGAACAGTGTGTCTATTTACCCGCCCACATCCTTCCTCGATCCCTTGGCGACCCCTGTACTACCCAACTCGAAAAACATATTGGACTCTGTACTCAAGACGAAATCGAACGCTTTGGCAGTTGTGCCTGCCTTTCTGGAACAATGGTCGGTTTTGCCGAGTGCTGTCGATGTTCTGAAGACCCTTGATTATATTGTAAGTTTGTTATTGATGCTGTGACAAGGAATGACTCGCGTTGATACCAATCATGCAGTACCATGGTGGCGGTCCTCTCGCGCCTAAGATGGGAAATGCCCTGGTGAATGCAGGGGTCAAGCTTTATTCTGGTTACGGCGCTACAGAATGTGGTGTCATCACTTGTGTCTTCCGAAATTCGGTCGAGCAAAAGTTGTGGGACTGGGTACGATTTGGACCAAATTCCAATATCAGATGGGCTCCACAGGGCGATGGTACATATGAGTGTCAAGTTTTGGTGCGCCTCCGACTTGATACTTAAACATCCTCTCGGCGTTAAACGCTTTCTCACAGACAACTCCGACGCATCAAGTGTCGGTAGAGAATCTTCCGGACGTCAAGGGTTATGCTACTTCGGATGTATTTATCAAGCACCCGACGATAGAGGGTTTGTGGAAGATGTACGACTGAAATTTGCGTGATTCGCCTTCTCTGACATTTTCCTTGCAGTGTAGGAAGGATCGATGACGTTTTGGTACTCTCATCTGGAGAGAAGACAGTACCAGCTCCCATGGAAAGCGTCATCTGCGCCAACCCCTACGTAAACGGCGCGGTCATCTTCGGCCGTGGGCGCAATCAAGTTGGGATCCTCATAGAACCACGAGCAAGGTGTGAAATTGACGTTGATGACGGAAAACAACTTGCTGAGTTTAGGAACCGACTATGGTAAGTTCTCTAAAAGGTCGTATGCTGCCATTCAGTCTGAAGATGTTCTTGAAGGCCGGACATAGAGGAAGCGAATAAAGAAGCTCCTGCCTTCAGCAGGATCTTCAAAGAGATGATTCTTGTGACACGCAATAAGAAACCCATGCTTCGAGCCGGAAAAGGGACCGTGATGAAGAAAGCAACCGTCGAGCTGTATGAGGCGGAGATCAATGCACTGTGAGCATAGTACCCATTCGTCACTCTGTCAACTAGACTTCACGGCCAACAGATATGAAAAGGTGGAGGGCAGCACTAGAGCAGGTATCGATGTACCTTTACCTTACAAGCTGGACTGCGGAAGACGTCGAGGAATGGCTCAAGATCCACGCTGCTGCTGTAAACGCTGACAAGGCAGTTGATCCTGACACAGACCTTTTTGCTCAGGGCTTCGATAGGTGGGTCGAACACGAGTCAAGGCTAGCGCTCTGCTTACTCGTACATCTAGTCTCTCTGCGACATTCCTCAAAAACCGCATTATTGGCTCTCTCAGCTCATCCCCAGATCGCGATGTTCAGGCATCAGCATCGCGGATTGACCAGAACATCATATTTTCGAGTCCTTCGATTCGCCGGCTCGCGAGAAGCGTCATTAATGCAGTATTGCAGCAGGATGGTGCAGGCACCGTCAACCCCAAGGCTGATATCGAGAACATGATCGAGAGGTATTCAGTCGGATTGGCAAACTCTGTCACAGAAGCCAACATCACTCTGGCTAATGGGTGCAGCCAAAGCGATCATGTGGTTGCTCTGACTGGGTCCACTGGTGGTCTTGGATCATACCTGCTTGCCGATCTACTCCAGCGCGAGGACGTGTCTGTGGTATATGCCTTCAATCGCCCGTCAAAGGGGGCATCCATCCAACAGCGACAGGAAGATTCGTTCAAAGATCGCGGTTTAGATTTTACCCTGCTTCAGTCAGACAAGCTAGTGTATGTAGAGACCGATACATCCGATGATCGCCTGGGTCTGGATGAGGAGTTATATCAGAAGGTTTGCGTCATTTCCAGTGACATCTAATTAACTAAAGATGGCGTAGATCCGCACGTCTGTCACTGTCATCATCCACAACGCTTGGCGACTCGACTTTAACCTGGCGCTCTCGTCATTTGACTCTCATGTGCAGGGAATGCGGAATCTTATAGACTTGGCTCTATCTTCTCCGTGTCATCCAAAGCCGCGTTTCATGTTCGCATCTTCCATCTCATCTGCTCAGAGTTGGAGTAGCGCGAAAGGACCATTCCCTGAGGAAGTAGAATGCGACGCAGGGGTCGCAGTAGGTCTTGGCTATGGCGCGAGCAAGTATGTTTCGGAAAGAGTAAGTCACAAGCTATGTCGGGGGGCATAGATTCTACGAACACTGATTCCAATAAGGTCCTCGTCAACAGCAAGTTACCGGCAACATCATTCAGAATAGGACAAGTATCAGGAGGACCTCCGCGAGGCGCTTGGTCCACGACAAACTGGGTGCTGATCTTCGTCAAATCAAGTGTGAGCCTAGGGGCGCTTCCGGAAGCTCAGGGAGTAAGTCCATCACTATCGAGGGTAGCGATTAATGACATGTGCGGTTTAGTTTGTGTCTTGGATCCCTCCCTACGCCATATCAAATGCTATCCTTGATGTAGCTTTCGCAGAAGAAGAACCTCCCATCGTGATGAATCTGGTGCATCCGAGACCGACCGCGTGGAAGACGTTGATGCAGCCCATTGCGGACGCCATGGTTGAGCATAAGATAACAAGTCACCCACTACCTTTTGTGCCATTCTCGGAGTGGCTCGAAAGGCTCGAATCGAGTGCCAAGGACGTGAGCGAAGAGAGCATGAAGCGCATCGTAAGTGTATCTCGATAGCTTGCCAAAACGTTCTCCCATATAGTCTTCAATCGCAGCCCGCTATCAAGCTCCTCGACTTCATGCGTTCCATGGCTCGATCAGACATCGCGATCAGGGCATCTGGAGAGATGGCCTCCGAAGCGGGTGGCATGAAGTCATTCGCCACCGCCGTAGCCGAGCGCGTCAGTCCAACAATAAGGGGGCTGAAGCCACTGTCTTCGGCAGACGCGGCACAATGGGTGGATTATTGGGTGGACATGGGGATGTTTTAATGAACATATGAGTAAGCGGTGGTTATTCATTCTCGCCTTGTCTTTGATAACATGGCTCAGGACGATTAGAACTTGAGAGACCGTGCTTGTAGTTGGAGCTTTTGAGTCGTTTTTCAAGGAATGGCAATGGGGTGCAACTTCGGGTTTCGCCTGTTTGCTCAGCTAGCTGTTTGAATTTCAAATATCTTGTTCACATATTGTATAACATATTATAAACTTTTCCCAAATATATATTGATAATCCTGATGTGTTAGTACAAGGTGAACTTTAAGGTAAGCTAGTAGGCAAAATTTGGGAGGTTACGGACAAAGATTTTGATGGTGTGTTGCAAACACGACACGACTTCGAGAGTCATAATCAAATAGACTGTAATGATCAGTTAATTGCCATACATGAATCATTGTTGTCACCACTTACAAGCTAGCAATGTACGAGGATGTGGATCCCTATCTTAATGACCAGCTGATGATATACCACTGATGTATCACTCTCATACCCCCAAACAGGACAGGGGTTATACTAGTTTGGACCTTGGATGCATTTGGCACTTTGGTACCTGTCAAGTAGGTCTGTGTACCTTACTTCAGCCTTCTCGACGCTTACCTTTCCTTTCCCGTGCCTTTCGTACCTTACCATCCCTTCTATTACCTACTTTGAAAGAAACAGAGCAGTGTGTGGCTGTTATACTTGGGGTAAATCAAGAATTTTCACTAAGAGTCTGTCTATGTGCTGCACTGCTCTGTAGCTGTTTGATAACAAAGTTAGATTCGAGGTGCATAATGAAAGGAGATTGAGTTAGGTGTGACTACTAAGTGAACTTAGAGGGAAATTCTCGGAGACAAGACTGCTGATGGGATATGAAGTGTTGGTGTTTTCGGTGCAAGCCCAAAGCATGGGTTCAAACCTGGGCTTCAAGGTGAGCTGTGCTCCCAAATAGTAGGAGTGTAGCGACACGTATAGTGAAGCTTTATGCCCACGTTCTAGGAGCGAAAGACTCACTTGTTCTCAGCACAATGGGGGCTGTGTGTAGCGCATGAATGGTTCTAGTGCTGGTGATGCTTGCATGTAGGGTGCGAGTATTAGGGCATGGTCTCTGAGGTACAGTGTGAATGTGTCACTGGACCATCTACCCATTGACTTCATTACATCAAAAGGGATCCTGCATAACAGGTACTCTAGCGTTCCCCTGATGTGCAGTCCATGTCCTTTGAGGTTCGGGAGGTTTGCGGTAGCTGTTACTGTGGCTATCCTTTTGACGAGTTCTGCTTTTGATAGAGGTCTGATACCTTTAGGATGTCTCCATGCGAATAATGGTGCATCACTACTAGCATTGTTTACCCAAAAATGATTAGCTAACACAGCTTTTGGATCTGACGGTCCATCTTGAGCTGCCCAAAATGTGTCCTCTCCTGTGGTAGGGCAGGTTTTGGTGCTTGGGATATGGAATTTGGTTACAGGGTTGCTGTGCCGAGCAAAAGATTCTGATATGCTGGATCTCGCAATATGCTTTCTTGGGTCAAAACCTTTGATGGTTTTGATGGTAAACTTGCCTAGCCATGCTATACAGTAGAAGGATGTTCTTAGGCAGGCAAAGATTGCTGCGTCTAACGGATCATTAAGGTTTAAATGGTTGCATATGAACGAAAGGATATCTGGGGTGAAGGGTAAGCATTTTGGCAGTTTGGATGATTCTGGTGCTACTGCTTTGGCTCCTTCAAGCAGGGTTTTTAGCTCGCTGTGGGAGATTAGCCACAGCCTGCTGTGTAGCATGTGCCAGGCCCTGATAGCTGCTGCAAAGTTGGTGAGTGCTGAACCCGAATAGGATCCTGCGCAACTGGATAGGAAACTGAGTAGGAGCGTTGGATTGACCGGGCATCTTTGGTCTTCTGCGATGTTGTTCATATCACAGAAGACATAGAAGACTAACAGACCAGCACAATAGGTTTCCTTGGTTGATTGCACCCAAGACGACCCCATGACGTCCAGTATGTGTTCTAACTGGGCGTCTGTGACCTCATCGCTTTGGGTCTCTGCTGGGGCAGCTGCAAGCTGCACTTGCCTTGGGTTGGTACCTGCTGGATGCCACATTCTTAGTCTGTCTCTGGCCAGACAATGCAGATGGAGATTCGAGGGATGGGGAGTAAGGTTTGTCCTGTAGTTCTTTGGTAAGGGAGGGGGTTCTGCTGCATGGTTTGAGAGAGGTGCTCCAAAATGCATATGGGTCCTGGCATCATTCCTCTCTGAGGGCACTGTTAATGATGTTCTCTTCCTCAAGGCGGGTGACTCTGGCCCGCTGTTCTGCTTGTTGCTTGGTGAGTTCACGATTAATGAACTTAGCTGTGGGGGTAGTGTACTTTCCATCCCGAAGGTGATGCAGTTTGGTAGGGGAGAGGGGTAGAGTGGCATCGATGATGAACTCATTAAGCTCGTCTGGAAAATTGACAGGGGAAGAAGAAGCTGTGTTGATCTGTAGATTCCTCAGGATGGTTTGTCTGCTGGGTTGTCTGCACTAGCGATGTGAGTGGTAGTGATCTCCAGGTGTCTGGGTAAGTTATGGATGAAGCTGTGTATCCTCCTGAATATGGTGTTGACTGGTCTGTTGTGATGACGGTGTCTCCACCAGCCTTTGACAATGCCTGTGTTGTCCCCATGGATGAGGAGGCTGCTGCTAGCATTAGTGAGAGAGGCAAGAGTATAGACGAGGAGTTTGAAACTGATTGCCTCTGCCCAACCAATATCTCTTTTTCCATTCGCTGTTTGCCAACCTGGTATGAGTCTCCAGGCTCTCCAGTGGTCTCTGATGACAATAGCAATTCCAATTCCAGAACTAGCATCTGAAAACGTGAAGGGGTTCGAGAGAGTGAGTGCTGGCTGGATTGGTCTGACTACGCTGCCTGACTGCAACAGAAGCGACCACCATTCTAGGTCCTCGGCTACATGCTTTTCAGGTCTGTGTGGTAAGAACAGCTTCTCACTGCAGTATGACAGCATGTCCTCGAGGCCCGTTAGGTACATCTTTCCTCATGGTGCTGCAGAGCAGGCATGTAATAGCTTTCCATAGAGTTTCTGAATGTCCCGTAAGGTGTGTGTTCGACACTTTCTCCATTGGTGTATCTCTGCAAGGTATTTATCTACTTTTGAGGGGCTTAAAGACACGGATCGCTGACTGATATCCCAGAACTGATGTGCGTGGCTGTGGTTTAAAAATTTTGGTCTTTGAGTGGTTCCCAGACTATACCTAAGTCATCGGACAGCCGGTCTATGTCCTGCATACAACAGGTGAAGAGTTTGTCTTGGGTGGATCTGTCAGAACTTTCCGATAGATCTGCTAATGATTGTGAGCAGTCCTCACTACACTCTTCTAGTTGTCTGGAGACCGGGGATATGCCTCCAAACCAAAGGCAACTGCCTGATTGGCGCATACCTTCCAAGGTGAAGGTGTGGTACCATTTTTCCCTGGCCTTATTGTACTCTTCTAAGTATTCAAGCAGGATTCAAAGAAAAATGTGGTCATCTACCCATTTATCTAGGGGACCTATTCCTTGGTGGTGGAAGAGCTCGGCTCCTGCGTCTGCTACATGCCCGTATACCCTTGTTGATGGGGTTGCCCCGAAAGCAGTGCATGTGTCAACAAAGAACTGATTTTCGGAGGTACGTACCATACCAGCCGGCCATTGGGAAGGGTGCAAAGGCACCATTTGGTAAGCTTCCGTGACATCTCTGGTTGCTGCTTCTAATCTGGGCGGAAGTTTTGCGATCAATTGGTATAGTGACGAGAATATTCCCCATGTTGTGGGAAAAAGGTCTGCCTCGATGTAGGAATTGATTGAAGGGTTAGGGAATAGCATGCTTGGGACATGCGGGAAAGAGAAGTTTTGTATGATGTGAAACTTCCCGGGTTTCCCTGGTTTGGGAATGATAGACATTGGCAAGGATTGAAAAGGACCTATTAAATCTTGTAATATTTTGGCCGAGAATGGCCCAATATATCTGCCTTTTACAAGTTCCTTCTGAATGATTGTTCTGAATTTGTTTTCATATTCATTAACTGAGTCTTTGTTTGGTGGGGTCTGTACAGAGCCCCTTCAGTGACTTGACCCTATAGAGATGGCCAGCCCACCTTGACATTCCTCCATGAGAGTCGGGCCAACCCACCATGGGCCCACATTATGTTGTCATCCCATGTTCTCGGCTGGGCGGGTGGAGTTAATGTGCCAGATGGTTAGGGCTGGGCCCACGGTGCATCGGCCAGTGTGTTGGAGTGGGCCCATGGTTGCCAGGATTGACAGTATATTGGATTGAAGGGTGGGCCCACCTGGCTGTTGCACATTGGATTGCAGTGTTGGTGACAGATTTCCCGCCTATGCATATTGGATCTCGGTGTCGGCGACAGATTGCCCACCATGCAGATTGGATTGGAATGTCGGTGGTAAATATCCTGCCGCTGTATATGGGATAGATTGTGGTGTTGGCAACAGATTTCTACATTATCTTGGGTGGGCCAGTGATGCCGATGTGCCCAGCAGTTAGGGCTGGGCCCACAGTGCATTGGCCTCTGTTGTGGAGTGGGCCCATGGGTGCCAGGATTGACAGTAGATTGGATTGAAGGGTGGGCTCACCTGGCTATTGCATACTGCATTGCGGGGTTGGCGACAGATTTCCTGCCATTCATATTGGGTTGGAATCGGCAGCAAATTTCCTGCCAGTGAATATGGGATGCCCATGCCCCATTACATTGGCAATGGGACTGTTAGTAGGGTATTACCCGCCGGCAATGAAATCCTGGAATATTTGGCAGGGATTGACTGCGATACTTGAATTGGTAAACAAACCCTGGATCACAAGAAATGTGGTCGACGAATATGCATCAGGAACCAGTGATTATGGAACTGCTCACTGGCGAGAAAATATGTTCATCGGCAATGCAAACCGTCGGCATTGACATAAGGGTCGATTGGAAGGGGTGGGCCCACCATGAGATATTCAGGGGATAGATGGGCCCAGATGGCTATCACTCTGCTGGGCAGGTGGCCCAAATCCAACAGTTTTGCACTAGGGCTGAGCCAATCGGTACAACATTGACAAGCAGGTGGGCCCCATACCTGTACAGGGCATAGACGAATGGGCTCATATGTTGTTATACCACAAGATCGGTGGGCCCATCGGCTAGGATTTCAACAGACAGCGGGTGGGCCCAGGTAATGAGATTTCAATAGATGGGTGGGCTTCGTAGCACCAGACGGATGGGTCAATGATTTAAATAATGTGGCCAATAGTAGTGGAGTGGCCTAAACCTCTCTCTATGAAGCGGACAGGAAGAAGTGAGGGACTACACTACTACATCCAAGCGCTATGCTTGTGCTACAAACACAGCCAAACACTGGCGAACCTTGCCTACTGCCTGACCTCCTGCCTAGGGGCCCCCACTCCACGTGCCCCCCTTAGAAAACAGCGACACCCTCGTCGCCACACCTCCCTCTCTAGCCGATGTCTTCTATCTTGTCTTTCCATTGGTGACTCCGTCTGTCTTCTTCCCAACTCTACTCCTCTTCTCCTTCTTCTTTGTTCTCTGAGTCTTCCTCATCTGCGTTTTCTTTGTCTATGTTTTCATTGTCTGTGTTCGTGGCCTGTTCAGCCATCTGTCTTTCTATGATTTCTTTTTCTTTTTTCTCTTGTTCCTCTGCTAGCTGGGTGTTTGGTCTCGGCGTGAAGGCTCTAAGGTGGCGCGCGTTGAGTTCTCCGTTCATAGGTGCGCCTTCTAATGTTTCTAGTTTGTATGAGTTGCGTAGTCGTTCTGTGATGCGACACGGAGGTGACCAGTTGGTAGGATCTTGCGTTTCACTTTGAGTGTCATATTGAGGTTGCTATAAAAGAATTGAACTAATTGTCCTTGCAAAAATAGGACTTCCCTTGGTGATCGTGTGAGAACCCGTTTGTCAAACACTGCTTTCCGTTTGATGGCGTGCCGGACCGTAGCATCATAACCGTCTAGTTGTTGTTGAGCTATGTATGCCATATGAATGCTTGTGTCTGTGAGTCGTAGTGTCGATGTGCTGTTGGCTAAATCAGTGCATGGTGTATTGACAACTTGACCTAATAGCAATTCTTTCGGCGAGAACTTGAGAGCCGGTAGTGTGCGATAATTGAGTGCCATGACCGCGTCGTCCAAATGATTGGGCCAACTATTAGGCAGTTTGTCCCATGTTGTGTTGTTATAGTTGTCTTCACCTAAATTCGGGGCGCACAAACACTTCAGTACATGCAGTAGAATTTTATTAGTTCCTTCTACAAGGCCGTTGATCCACAGTGCATATGCTGCGATGACGTGTCTCTTACACGCCCATTTCGCACAAAATTCCTTGACTTCATTATTGTTGAAATGCCGTCCACCATCTGTCATGAATGTCTCAGAGGGTATGAAATTGCGGAAAATGTTCGATAAGCTGTTGATTGTTGTTTTCACAGTTCCTGCCGTCTTGTATTTGAAGACCCAGACGTGTTGGGAGAATGTATCGAGATATATGCCTAACGTATGATAGCCCTTTGCCTTGGGTAATGTTAGGTAATCTCCTACTAACAGCTCGAACGGGTGTCTGAGGGTGATTGGTTCTAACAGTGAGTGTAGGTGTGCAGCGCTGAAGTTTTTACACTTAGCACAGTCTCCTATAGCTGTCATGATAGACTCGTCAAGTTTGGGGCTGTGGATTCTATCAGTTAGTGCAATTTTGATTGCATCCCTACCCCAGTGTCCGCCCTCAGCATGTTGTTGCGCTGCTAATACCTTTGCTTCTTCTCTAGTACCACATTCCACTCTACTCTGAGCCCTTACCATTGTCCCACCTCTCAGCCTCCATAGCTTTCCTTCCTCAATCATATATTGTGACGCCTGGTGTTTTGCTCTTCTTCAGTCCTTGAGTGGTGCATCTGATCCTACCTGTGCTATTGCTTTTATAACTCCTGTAAAAATTGGTTCATTAGTGAATCTTTCCAATAGACTTACCGTTATCTCAGTTGCTTCTGTTGTTGTTAGTAGGATGTCATTGGTTAGTCCTTGTACTACTTCCCAATCTTCGCTAACCGTCCAATTGCTTCTGTCTTGTAGGTTGGCGTCTTGCGGTTGTCCCTCCCACTGCCGACTCAAACCATCTGCGACCACGTTAAGCTTCCCTGGGACATGACGAACATCAATGATATTGTGCGCTAATATGCCATCACGCCAGCGTGCATGCGCTGCGTTGAGATGGTCGTTGATGAGTACGTCTCGTAGGGCTTGACAGTCTGTTTCAATCTCTACTGGGAAGCCCCAGACAATGTCTGAAAATTTATCTAACCCGAATTTCAGCGCTGCAAATTCAAGTAAGAATGGTTTGTATTTGTGCTCAGCTGCTGATGTGCGTTTTGATGCAAATGCGATTGGTAGGAGTCTCTCTACACATTTCCCTGATCATTTCTTCATCTTGACCCTCTGTGATAGAACTGCTGCGAGGCCTTCTTGACAGTCATCGGAGGTTACTACAAATGGTGAGCCGTCATATCTTGGAGCTTGTAGAATGGGTCTTGATACTAATGCCATTTTTAGGTCTATAAAGGCTTTGTTGTGTTCATTGCCCCATCGTTCCATCAGCTTGAAGTCCCAAAGTGTCCGTCGGTATGTGGCCTTTGAGTATGGTGTTCTTAGCAGCACTAATTTCACCAGATTCCTCAGTGGGCCTTCCCTTTTGGCATATCCTTGTACGAGGTCTCTGAAATGACTTGTGAGTCCTAACAATGATTCTAGGTTCAGTGCATCTGATGGTTTTTCCCAGTTTACAATAGCGGTCAACTTCTCTAGGTCCGGTTGTACTCCTTGTGGTCCTACGGTGGCTCCTGCGAATGTTGTTTCCATCATGAACAGCCTGCATTTCGAGGGTGATAGTAAAATTTTCCTATCTCTACACCGTTCAAATATTCGCGTGAGTTTTTCCATCATGTCTTGAAACATGTCTGCTGAACAGCCTCCATCATCGATGAATAACTCCATAGTCCCATCTGCGATTAAATCATGTAGATGGGTTGCTGTCATATCCACAAACATGGAAGGTGCTCTGGTGAGTCCCATAGGCATACACTTGTACCAGAACCATCCTCTGCCTTCTACATAGAATGCTGTAAACAGCCTCGACTCTTCTGGTACCTCGACTGCATAAAATCCGGATGCGAAGTCAAATACTGAGACATATTTATGTCCACTAAGACACTGCTGCTTGGCTCTAATATCACCTTGCGGCATTGGAGCTATAATGGTATGTTGGTTGACTTCATTGAAGTTCTGACATATTCTCCATTTTTCAGGTCCTTCTGGTTGTTGTGGTACGCCCGCCTCGTGAACTTCTCTTTCTGGGAGCGTAAATGCTGGTGGTAGTCTGTCTTGCTGACATTGAGCGTTGACTCGATGCTGTAGCTCTTCCAGTGTAAGGCCTTGTTGTTCATGTGCCTTTTTTGCTAACACTGTTGTAGCTGCGCATTTGATGAGGTCTGGCAGTGCTCTCTCTATGATACCTGCTGCTAACATCTCGTCTATTCTGCCATGTAAGAATTGCAGTTGCGGTGGCGTGAGAGCTCGCTGATGAACTCTTAGGTTGAACATTGTGCCTTCCGGGATGTTAAGCGTGTGTTTTGTGCCTGGTACTGGGAGTACCTCTGATAGTGACCCTGCGAAAATGTCCACGAATGATGCTACTAATCCCTCTGCTTGTTTGTGTTCCTCCGCCGTTAGATTATCGCTGTATTGGACCTTCTTCACGATGAACGCAACTTGATTCAGATTCATTTGGTCTGTGAGACGTGTGAATATAGCTGCTTTGTTTTCTAGGAAATTGGCGGTATCGCATTGAGTACTGCTTCTAATGAGTCCTTGGGCAAGTTGCCATTGACGGGGCTTTGCAGGTTCTCTTGTGATGGATATTGGACTTCCCTTGAGGGGAGTTTACTACTGCCCACTGTGTGTCTCTGCTGTTTTGTTCTCCCCAAGGTTCGATTTTTGCATCGTTTGGTGCCTACTCACTTTGCGGCTTCGTGTCCCACTAGGTACGTACTGTGCTTGATCTTGTACATTTGACATTGTTCACGGTTTCTCTTTTCTTTGTCTTTTGCTACTTCCTTAGGTGCTGGTGGCTCTTTGTCAACAGTTTTTGCTTCCTCTTGCACGACCTGCACCTTCTGTTCTTCATCGTGGGTTTCTTCAATCGTGGCGCGTGTGGCTTGACTTTGGTTGTATAGCGTTTTGTTGCCTCCGATACCCTTGATGTGAACTTGGTCTGTTTCATAGTTGTGTATGGCCTTGAAGCTTCGTAGCATCGGTTTCCTATACAAGAAGTTCCATCCTCCTGCACTGTCGAACACCTCGAATTCTCCTTGTGCCCGTATGCCTGCGATTGTGACTTCCCTTTCCCATACTGCTAATGATGGTACAATCATTCCATTTGCCATTCGTAGCAATTTATTTGACAGTCCCTAGTTTCCTAATCAGTGTTTAACTTTCTGAAACACCGATGTACTCATGGCACTGATCATTGCGCCTTCATCAAATAAGGCTTTGACCTGGACGATTTCTCCTTGCGGTCCCGTGAACGATATGTTTTGCAGGAAAGGGAGGCATGTGGTTCGTGATCGCTCTTCGTCCGCCGAATACAGGTTTACAATGTTGTGTTTCTCTATTTCAAGATGACTGGCGACATAGTTGGTACTGGAAGTAAATTCGGCGGGCTTGTTATATTGGTCCTCGTGTGGTTCCTCTTTGCACACGAGGACTAACTGTCTGTTACTCTGAGGTATGACCTGCTGGTGGGTCATTGTGTGGTCCTCTACACCGACGACCCGTCCCCTTTTCCCTGCTCATCTATTTCCAGCTGGTACATGTTGTCGAACACTATATTGACTTGTGGCGCTGATGCGCGATTGTATGTCCCTAGGGTTTGAGAATATATGCCTTGCCAAATCGTTTCATTCTTTATTAATTGCATGTCCTGTGGTACTTGGCACTCTGGACTTATATGTCCGTGCGATCCACATCTGAAGCACTCGCCGGAACAGATTTGCGCTGTTCCTGGCGTTAGTGGGAATGGGGTGTGCTCACTGCATCTCGCCCCATTTCCCCACTTGGTTTTCCATTGCCGTAGCTGTTCTTCATATGCTGCTTGTCCCATTGAGGTGTCAGGGTGGTGGGTTAACTCATTGATGCGGGTGCGCATCATGTCCCTTTCTTCTTGTGTTGGAGGCTGACCTCTAGGGTGCTGAGTTGTTCCAGGCTGGTTCCCCATTACATAGCGCATTTGTCAGCGAGCTGTATTATTGGCTATGGTGTTTGACTGCGGTGTCTGCGGACGTGGTACATTGTATGGTGCTGTTTGATTAATGGGTGTTCCAATGGATGCTTGTTGCATTTGGAGACGGAGGATCTCTACTGGGTCTCTTTGCCTGGTTTCAAGCCGAGTGATTCAAGTGTCTTGCTCTTTCTCTACTTCCCTCCTCTCTTTAGCTCACTTCACCTTCTCCAGCAGAGTGTTAATATTGGTGTCCTTAATCTCGTCAAAGAATGTGTCCCAGTCTGGTGGTGCTGGAGATGTCAGGTCTCTCAATGTCCATGGGAGCACATCACAAACTGGTTGAATTAGGATAGGTGCACTGTCAACTCCTGCATCCTGTACTAACTTCTTCAATGTGCCATGGAAGTGCACATGCGACCACGTTTCAATTCCTGCTACCGTGATGCATTGTCCGATCTCTTCATCTTTCATGCATAATGCTAATAACTCCTTTTGATATTCCAGCTTTGTTTTGCCTGCTGCGATTATTGCAGGCCATTTAGCAATGAATGCTGTTCTAACCGTCGACCAACTGGCTTTGTGCTTTGCATCAAGGTTCATCCACCATAGATCTGTGTGTGATCCTGCAGAGATGAGTGTACCGAATATTGCAACTTTTGTTGCCTCATCTGTGATTCCATTAACTAGGATGTACATTTCTGTACCTCGCAGGAAATTCTGCACGTTCTCATCGCTTCAACTGTGAAACAGAGCTGGTGGGCCTGTAGAATTGGACATACAGGCTGTATTTGTGGGTGTAACGATGGGTGGTTTGATGTATAGCGAGATGAGTTTGTGCAGTGGGACTGTGGCTTGCGTTGCCCTTGGTTTCACTGGTGTTAATGCAGGAGGTAATGGGGGCTCTCTTGGTGGGTTTGGTGGCTCTACTGGGGGAAATTGAAGATTCTCTGCTTCTTCGTTTTCCTCGTTGTCAAATCGCAGAAGAGTTATTGATATTGGACCTGGTGCGCCTGATAGTGACTCTTTGTCGTCTGCTAACTGCTGTAGAACTTCTTGCTCTGATTCTTCTTGATCTTGTTCTAGCACTCGTTGATCAATTTCTGGTGTGTCAAGGGGCAATGAAACTGTGGAAGGTTGTGTGATGTCTGAGAGTTCTCCGTCGTCGTGCATTTTCTTTATAAAGCGACCTTTTTTGTCTCTAGGCGGAGGTTCTTGTCGAGGAGGCAGTTTGGCAATAATGTGGGTTTCAGTGAAAAGATCATTATCATGCTGATTAAATGCTATGCTTGGTGTTCTCTCCTCGTGTTCTGACACGTGCTTTGATATTGTTCTATATTTCGGCTTCGACTTCTAGAAGCTCTGGATTCTGTTCTGGCTTGGGCTCGGGCTCTGCTCTGGACTCTACTCTGGACTCTGCTCTGGGCTCTGGACTCTGAGGGGAAGCCAAGTTGAACTTGGTTAAGACGATCTCGCTCTGTTCACCAGTTGGAGTGGCCTAAACCTCTCTCTATGAAGTGGACAGGAAGAAGTGAGGGACTACGCTACTACATCCAAGCACTATGCTTGTGCTACAAACACAGCCAAACACCGGCAAACCTTGCCTACTGCCTGACCTCCTGCCTAGGGGCCCCCACTCCAACGCCAGTCCTGTGCAAGCCTCTCCTGTTCTTCCCAATCCCTGATTTTGTTAGCATCGGCACTGTGATTCACAGCTTGCCTGAATTTCTGGCAGAGAGACTTGCCTTCATGGTCGTGAGTGAAGGTTTTACAAGTATGGCAGCACCCACTCATTCTGATCATTTTTATGAAGTTACAATCATTCATTTGATAGTCCAAGCATTCCTTTCGGTGAGGTGTCCCCATCCCACGTGCTGACGGTGAGATAATGTTCAATGGCGCCCAAAGGGTCTCCATGATTTCACCATCAATTCTTGCTGCACCTTCGATAAAATTTGAAGCATAGCGCACATAGCAGCTGTCTTGATGGCCATGGAAATGCCACAGACCTATCCCAGGAATAATCTGCAGCTCCTGGCAAATGTCTAGTAAAGGACTGTTGGCTATGCAGTCCTTCAGATATATATGATACTGGCAGTTCACATTGTAGAATGTGAGCGCACTGCCGAATACCATCGGCATTGTGTTTCAACACCTCGCACAAGGCATAGTCCATGTTCATCTGTCTGGTGGCATTCGGCAATGTTTAATATATCAAAGGTAAGGGTTAGTGGTGTCAAAATGCATACCTTTCTCCCTTCTGAACATCCACCATTGCATGTGGTACAAAACAGCCATGTCTTGCACAGGACACATCCGCCGATCCCCGTTGCTTCCAATCTGTGACATGAGGCATTGGCCTGATTTACGGCGTGGTGGTTGTTGCACTCAGACCGTTGAACATTGTCCTTTGCCTTGGAAAGATGTTCCTTGTACATGGAATCACTGACCATGAAGCCGCGGCCATCCATCAGGTATACTTCATCATCGGGATTTGCGGCATGCAAGTGCTCAGCTTTGAAGTTGCCATCCATGACCAGAGATCTTGAATAGAGCTAACTCGGCATTTCCAGATCAGATTCATGGTCGGTCTCCTCTAATCTGGTAGGATCATCAATTGGTATTGTTACATTAATTCCTGGCTGGGGGCATGCCAGACAGAAGAGAGCGAGATCGCCGGGTTTGGTATCTTTGTTCTCATGTCCGAAACCATTCCATTTTAATAGCTTTAGTTTTCGCCATTGTCTGGCCACCCTCATCAGCTCCCGATAGCGGTCCTGCAGGCTGGTCAAAAATGGGCCACCAAGGGAGGAATGCACTCACCGGCACCAAATGAGGAAAGACACTGGTGGTCATCCTTCTCAACTTGCTGTAATAATTCATCACTGAAGTGCCACACTCTAAGTTATCCAGCAAGAAATCATCCAATACCTCAAAGGTGAAGGCAGTCTTTGGTTGGGAAAAGGATGCCAGAAACATTCCCATTTGAAAGAGTTGTACATCGGCGCTAGGAGCATCAGCACATGTGCAATACTTTATCATGTGTGTGTACTCCAGACTTGTCCACTATTGTTGTGATGGTCTTGTTGTTTTTTATGAATGGTACACCAGTAGGTAGATCATTGGCATCCTTTGAACAGTGCATGCCAGTAGATTGTTGATCTAGTCCCATGTCGCTGGCATCCATGCTGTCATTATCATCATGGTTTGGATGCAGCGCATGACTTTGTGTGTCACCGGCATGCTCGTTGTCGGTGTGGCTTTCAGCAAAAAATCCATTGTCAACCTCATCATCCCATGGGCAAGGATGTCCATTGTGACCTAGCCAAATAACTAGTCCACTCTTGACTAAGCAACTGTCCTCAAAGAACCCCCCTGTCCATTGACTGATCCTATGGAAGGGCAACCTCTGGTGCTGGGTCCTGCAACAATTTGTACAGAAGAGAGGCTCACCGAAGCAGCTGTGACATTTGTAGATTCCATCTGTCCGACATATGATGCATGACTGGTCAGCAGGAACCTCCCGCTCAAGGAGTATGTTAAGATACTGCTTGGTCTTTGGCACTCATTGCTGAAGGTAGTCATTCTGACCCTTGAAACAAGCTGAGTGAGGGAGACCAGTGTAGGTGGGCAGTGCTTACAAGGGACTTTGGCAGCTGCAGTGGTATAAAATGCTGCTCAGCCAGGTCAGCCAATATAATCATTGCCATGATACAGTAGATCCTGTGATGGCTGCTTTAATGGCGACTTGGTAGGGGTGGCCAGAACTGATTTTATTGTTCTGATTTTGGGTCTCTGTATCCATTTCCCAGCTACCTTCCTGGTCCGAATTGTTTTTCTTCCATTCCACTACCATAATATTGGTTGTAGGAGTCCACTCCTTCACTTTAGAGCCCCCCATGTGGTGAAGTCAATGGTGTATGATGACTGAAGTGGTTGAAAGCCTGATTAGCCTCACTACTAGATTGGACAAACACTGATGTAATGTATGCACCGGAACAGTTAGAATGTTATCTGACAACTCTCATCAAATTCCAGGAAATATTCTTTCCATGACTTCTTTTCATCAGGGATATAACATGGTGACTTCAAAGTTCATTATGTATGTATAGCATATAGACATTTGTGCAATGAGAGCCAGATGCTTGTATGCTGATTGTGTAGCAACTATCTATACATAGTACGTACTACAAATGAGATCCAAGTGAGAACCGAGTAAGCCTAATAAGGGCCATCGGGAATAACTCATTTTGAAATCTTGAACCATTCATATCATTAATCCTATCAAACCATGGCTCAGGAGTGAATCTCCTATCATTATCCCCCAGCAGACTAAGCTTCCCTTGACAAAAGGAGAAGTCACAGTCCTTAGGGCTCAACTGGAAGACTGGAGGTCTGTGAAAGGTAAACAGAGAGCACTTGTTTTGAATGCCATACACAAGGAAGCTGGCCTCCAAGCTCCCATCCAGGAAAAAGTCATATTGAAATCCCGGAAAAAGGTATGTGCTGGTTTATACATCCTACAGCTGTTGATTCATGATGATAGACTTACAAGGAGTGGTTGTTCAACCAATGTCGATGGAAAGGAGTTCCAAAGCCTCTTATCAAGTATGGCAGGAGATGGACAGGTCACTGAGTCCTGGTTCAGCAGAACAAGGCCTGAATCCAAGAACAGACTGGAGAAACTCTTGGGAGTGAGCAGATGATTGTGAAGTGGCCCAAGGCTACCAAGACTATCCTTGCAGGTCTGTCGGCAGAGGAGAAAGAGGAGGCAAATGCAATTGCAGAGAAGTGGAACAATGAGGCTGCTCCACCTGAAGTCCAGGCCAATGTCGCCAAGACCAAAGGTGCCGACATGATAGAGCATTTTGCCACTGAAATGTTCAAGGAAGCAGGAATGAGGGTCTTTGTTTTATCAGCATGGCAGGATGGCAGAGGCAAGCTAATGGTGGGAGGGTGAGTGTTCTTTCCACAATTCTTGATCACCTCGATCTGAGATGCCTGGAGACATGACTTCAATGATCAGTTTGATGGTGCCGATAGCTTTTTGAAGACAAGGGATTAGGATGGAATCTGTATGCTGCAATGGCAGGAATATGCAGGTGAACAATTTGGTGAGATGCCTGGCTGACAGAATTCATCGGCGTCCTCATAAGAATGAATGCTCAGATACTACTGAAGATCAGGATGTTCCTCAGATTGTCATGTCTAAGAAAAGAGGCCCCCAGAAGCTCATTGAACTGGAGGAAGACGACGATGGGTGGCCGATGCTCCCTGAGACAGCCAGCTGGAAACGCGATGATCAACAGCATGTCATTCG